TATAATTATTAATTATTGTATTTAACTATATCTCCAAATTTTATAAATATCAATTTCAAAAATACCCAATTTCACTTGTTTAAAGCAAGAAAACCAATATAAGTGAAAAAAGTGCAAAGACTAAACTGCACCCATCTTCTTTGCGCTCGGTTAATATCTGATATTCATTCAAGCCGCGATCGAAACATTTATTCATTTCGAGTTCTTCAGTTTTAGCGACATCTCCCGTGCAATCAGTTGTATCATATTTACTTTGTTTAAGTTTTTCACCGACTATTTCCGATTTTATAGATTGGCTTGTTGATGCAGAACAAACTGGGTATCCTACATTTACAGAAAGAGCTTGACTGTCTTCATATTTACAATCGTCATAATTAAAGTATTGATACACTGAATATAAAAATTGAGGATACTCGTTTTGAATTTTATTACTAGCGTCGAGAGTAATATCTTCGGTTTTTGTTTCGTCCCAATTGGTACAAGTGTCACCAACGTGCTTTTTTACCAAATTACCTACCTTTTCCATTTTATTGTACGTGTGAAATCCGGCATAATAACATTTTCCTAATTCATAAATAATTAATGCTTCTGTTTGATATTCTACATAATATTCTGCAGAAGCCAACGCAAGTAATAGGAACGCAAACATTTTTGGAGTTTGAAATAAACAAGAGTTTAAATATTGTTATTGAAATTCGAAAAAAATTTAAAAATAATTTACAACTTTTATTTGTTTTAAATGTTGTTATAAGTTACAGAATAATTAACAGTCACATAATGGGATTTAGGTTATTGTTAATTCATTTATATTTATTTGAATTATGATTGATAATCCCACTTCCAAACTTCCAATCATTTCTTTTAAGACACTAAAACAAGTAAATTCTATTTTTATAATATTTATTACACCATTTAAAATATATTTAAACTTATTATTACTAATAAATTGTTTTAAACATTGAAATTATAAATTGAATTTTAATAATACATTATTTAACCAAGAAGATTGAATGTAAAATTACACCCTTCAAATATAATTAAAAAAGATAGTTACATGAATTATTTTTAATTACTTTTTAAATTTAAAAAAAACTACACTTTTACACCATTTAAATATAAAAAACTGCACTCTATGTGTGGTTTTATTAGAATAAACACCAGTTTACCGAGTCAAATTATTTAAAACTAACCAAAACAACATTAATAAGATAAGAAATAGTTGTTATATATTTTAAAGAAGGTTGATTGAATACAAAATAAT